AAGAAGACAAAGGCTCACTTCCTGAACTGGCTGACCAAGATGAAGGTCCTGAATTTGCACTTCTAGCCTCTTAAATTATTAAAGAGTAACATTTTCCTCGCTAAAGATTTGGCGGGGAGAGGGGGAGAATGCCTGGAGCAATATACAAAGAACTGCCAGGTATTCAATTCTGATTCAGAAGAGGTCAGAATATGTCACACTTTTATTAATTTTAATAAAAATTAAAAGAGATTTTGGATTTTTATTCATTCACTGTTGCACTTTCTCCCTGCCTACCCCACCCTTACAGTTCGTTCTTCTCTTTGAAAAGAAAAAGAAAATTATTTAACTGTTATACAATCCCTCCCCCAAAGTCCACTCAACCATGCAGTTCTTCCTTCTGGACTCCTGTCATGACAATAATACCTAATCATATCTCCCTTTTAAACAGTTCTCTCTCTTTCATCTGTTTCAATGCAATATACATAATTTATACCATCTTTCTCAGTCTCCACCCAACCCCAATATGAGTCCCATTTTACAACAGTGGCATTATGCGGTATTTGTCCTTTTGTACTGAGATATTTCACTCAGCATAATGTCCTCTAGAGTCATCCATTTTGAGCAATATTTCATGAGTTCCTTATTTTTCAATGCAGTGTAGTATTCCATTTTGTGAATATACCACAGCTTCTCTATCTATTTGTTTGTTGATGGGCACTTAGGGTGTTTCCAATTCTTTGCTATTGTGAACAAAGCCATGTAAACATGGGTGCATATATCTGCTTGGGTGACAGTTGTGGTTTCTTTGGGGTATATTCCAAGTAGTGGAATTTCTGGGTCAAATGGTATTTCTATTTTCAACTTTTTGAGAAAGTGCCATATTGCCTTGCATATTGGCTGCACCAGAAAATGTCACTCCTGACATCAGATGGATCTTGGCTGAAAACAGAGAATACCAGATAGAAAGGGGCTCAGATGGTAAGAAGTGGTAGGTAGTAAGAAATTGCACAGCCAACCCAGAAAGATGTTTAGTTATATTTTATTGATTTTTTGAAGGCATTTCACTGTGTCCATCATAATAAATTATGGATAACATTGATGAGAATGAGAATGTAAGAACACATCGTTTGTGCTCATGTAGAATCTACCCATGAACCAAGAAGCAGTAGTTCGGAGTAGAAAATGAGACCAAAAAAAATGCATTGTTTAAAAACTTAATTAAAATGTACTAAATTCATAAAATAAAAATGCATGGTTTAAAATCAGGACAAGAGGGATCATCCTTTCTCCGTACCTATTTAGTCTTTACGCTGAGCAAAATAATTGAAGAAGCTAGATCATATGAGGGATCTCTGGCTGCTTAGTGGTAAAAAATTCCACTATCAACACAAAGGTGGGCAGCGAGAATTCAACAGCTGCTTCACCAGGGGAAGGATGAGCACTATTTCTTCCCAAGCCATTTACTGTCTCTGAAAACTTGCTATAGAGTCAGCTATGGACTATTTCTGACTTGACAGTACATAGCAACAACAGCAACAAACTATTAAAAGAATGCTGCAAGGGAGCTCTACTGGCCTAGTGACAAGAAGCTGCACTGCAATCTCAGAGAGAAGGAGGGGCAATCTCCTCCTGTACCAGTCAGATCTGATGTGATGGTATACACAAAAAATAATAAAATTTAAATAAATAAATAAATGAATGAATGAATGAACGCTGCAGCAAATTGGAAGAAGAATCAGAAACAACGGCAGAATGTAGCTCACAAAACCTTATTTGCTGAAAATGAAGAAGAGGTGAAGCACTCACTGAAAATCAAAGACGTGAGCTTTTTAACACTGACATCAGGAAAACAAAAAAACCTCACAATTAGATCAGTAAGTAACATTACAATAAATGAAAATGCTGGTGCTGTCAGCAATTTCATTTTACTTAACTTCACAATAAATACCCATGGAATCAGTAGTTAAAAAGTCAAAGAATTTTTTAAGAAAAATTTGCTGTCAAAGACCTCTTTTAGATATTATAGGGCAAGCATGTTGGTTTAAAAACTAAGGTGTGTCTGACCCAAGCACACAAGTGCTTCTTTTCAATTGCTTCATCTGTGCATGTATGCTAGAAAATTAATATGGAGAATTAAAGAAGAATCGATGCTCTTGAATTGTGATGTTGGCAGAGTACCAAATATTTGATGAGACTGCAAAAGAACCAATCTGTCTTTATAAAGCAAAGATGGTGAAACTTTATCTCCCATCCTTTGTGCATGGTATTGGGAGGCGAAATCTGTGGAGGGGATAAACACGCTTTGAAAAGGAGATGGAAAGCATAGTAACCCTCAATGAGATGGACTGGCACAATAGCTCAATCTGTTAGCTAATTTAGCAATGACCATGACAGCGGTACTGAATCAGGTAGACTTTCATCCTACTGGAGTCCATTCAACATCCCCTGACATAGATTTTATGAACATTGTTAAATTTCTTGAATGCATACCAGATATATAAGAGGGGGAAAATTATATAATTCAAAGTATAAACAATATGAATCTAAATATTTTTAAATAGAGAAGTTATCTATCTTACCTCAATGATATACTTTTCCAAAGACTTGATTTCCTTAAGAGCTTCTGGGTCTTGATGGATAACAACAATTTCTTTCAAAGGATACTAGGAGAAAAAGTCAAAGGGCAAAGTCAACTAGGAAACCTATTCTCTAAGCACAGAATAATGGACTATATAGTATTTTATTTGTATCTCCAGCTCTAATCAGTTAGTAAATTATACTTTTCTTACAGAAACAGAAAAATTTATGCCTTGTTGAAAGTTCTTATGTGTTTTATAGTTAATACTAAATTCAAACCTTTATTGGAATAGTTTTGCGGTCTCGGATAACTCGTCCAAGCTCAATCACAGACTGCATTCTGGATACTGCACTTTCAGTTTTCTTGTCTATCAATTCCTCTCTGAATTGGCAGAAGTAAAGAAATTAGAGAGATTGTATGTCAAAGAAGACAATTGCAAATAGCAGGCAGGTTAAATGAGGAAGGTAATGAGGCTGAAAACCTGGTGGGACAATGAGAACACTACTAGCCCACTGCTCAGTGCCCAGCAGCCACAAATGGCCAGGCCACAGAAGATCTTCCCATCTTCCCTGGCCAGGAAGATGGGAGAATGGGTCCCCACAAGCACATGTTTTTGGAAACTTCTCTTTCCATGAAGACACGAGTCTGGCTTATATAAATGCTTGAGTCTCACCGAACATGAGGCAGCATGAGGTAATGAATACTGAGTGTGTCCTTGTCATGGACAGAAACAGGATCGATCAGCATCTTTAGATTCTGGTACATTAATTCTGTGAGAAATGGAGTATAGGGGGCCTAGGAGGAGAAAAGGAAACACCATTTCATTCATGAGCAGGATCATCAACAAGCCTAATTTAGAATTAAAACTTTCATGTAAACATTAAGAAATGATATGGTAATATGGACTTAAATGGACAAGATGGAACTAAACTTAGATTTAACTTAAGACAAAGAAACATCCTTATTTGGATTTGGTTAGGTGGACCCTTGAAAAGTATGTTACCAGGCCCTAAAGCACTTCTAGGCTACTAGAGGGTATTCATAATTTTAAAAAGGAGCCAAAGACCTGGTTTGTAATTTATTTAACACTTACTAGTCATGTAAATGGACAGTTCTGGTGGCCAAGTAGTAAAGAGTTGTGCAGCCAAACCAAAGGCAAGTGGTTCGAATCCACCAGCTGCTCTATGGGAGAAATATGGACAATCTCATCGCATGGGATTTGCTGTCTCTGAAAACCCATTGGAGGGAGCATAAGCTATGTGTCGGTTTCCACTTGATGACACAACAACAGCAGCTATGAAAATATACAGAGGCCCATCTATCACAAAACTTCCTCTATAATCATAAAAACACTGACAGCATCTAGGATAATGATCAACAGTGGCACAGGAAAAGGAAGGCCTTAGACAAACTCTGCACACAGAAGATTTTCATTTCGTGTAAATGAAGCTAACACAATGATTTCTTGATCACAATAGCAGATACTATTTTTATTATTTCACTACTTCAGGTTGTAAGACCATCTCTCAAAGAATTACTTATTTCTCTGTGAATATCAATTTAAAATACTGCTTGTGATATGTTTCCATGTTCAGACAGCTTAAGTATCTTCCCATTATTTACAGACAATTACAGCCATTCACATTAAGGTGAGATTATATAATTAAAAATGAAATCCTCTGTTGAAATGCAACAATTTCCCAGCAATGAATTACCAGTAATTATGAGAATCTATTTGTTAAGGCCATTATTGCTTAGTTCTTACATGTTATAAATAAGCTAAAAAGATTTCTGAAAGTTTCTTTACAATTTCCTTTTTTTTATGAGGGTAAAGAAAAGAGAAGACATGATGCTATGGAGACTGCAATGAAGAAAGCTGCAGTCATGTGTGCAGCTGCTCAAAGAGTCTCATAAAGGGTTCACCCATCTTACCATAAGTCTGCACAAAGAAAGCAGGACGCTAAACAAGGTTTCCAAGGCCATAATGCAATCCTCCATTCCATTTTCACCCTAGAGAATAGAAGGATAAGAAAAATGCCTACTCATAAACATTAAAATGCAAGTAAGAAGTTTATTAGAAAGAGGAAGCCTACAGAGAGAACACAGAATTCAGAAAGAACAGCAAAGTTTACAGATCGTGTGTTACCATCGTAATCAAAGGTCAACATGCTCACTGACAAAGTCTGAGGGTTTCCACCCCACCCTTTGGTGATGTTCGCTCTCTGAATCAGAAGGGCACTGAGATTCTGGTACAGAGAATAAGAGAATCCAGAAGGATTAGGGGCACTGTCTGCCCATGATCTGCATGCTGTGTGTGAGAGCCCTGTGGTCTTAGGAGACTGCTGGGACACTACTATTTACTTTCCTTGCACTTTTATTTCGATGTCTGGAACCTCTAGTTTTAAAGGTACATAGAATGCAATAACATAGCACATGCTTAACCTGAGGTGCTATACACTCTTAAAATTATGATTACGGAAGTGTGTTTATCACAACCCAATACTATGACAAAGAAAAAGGGTTAGCTGCTAACAGAAAATTTTAAATTATCTTTAGAAAGATTCTTATAAAACAAGGCCAAAAAAGGCAGATGCTGTGTATTTTTTATAATTATATTTACTCATTGTAGGAGTGATATACCAAATGTGATAATGGTTACCCATGGTGGATAGTGTTCGGTGAGCTTCCTGATTAAAACAAGCTTGGAAGCAGAAGTGGCATCCACTTCCTAAAGGGCATGCCTCCATAAACTCTATGAACACTGCTCAGGTCTTTGATTCATAGGGTCGCTAGGAGTCGTCTATGACTCGACGTTACCTAACAACAATAACAACAACAACGTAGAGCGAGCTACATTGGGCTCAAGGACAGAAAGTTATGCTACCAAGCCCAAGGTGGGTGATTTTAATCTGCAGCCCTCAAGCCTGGTTTAAATCTTTTTTTTTTCTGTCTTGTCAAATAATCTTCTAAGTGGTATAGCACTGGTCTGTGCATTGCTGTACAGAAGTAACTTGTGGTTGCTGTGATGCTCAACACTGTGACACTGATGTGCCAAATGTGATAATGGTTACCCCTAGTGGACAGTGTTTGGTGCAGCTTCCCAATAAAAACAAGCTTGGAAGCAGGAGTGGCACCCACTTCCAAAATACCTTGCCTCTGGAAACCCTATGAACAGTGCTAAGGTCTTTCGCTCACAGGGTTGCTATGGGTTGACTCGAGGACACGTAACAACAACAGGACAAATTCAAATAAAGATAACTGAAAGTAAAAGTAAACTGTAATTCAACCAGTGGCTTGGATCATACACCTGTCTGGAACTTCAAATCCATCAGCTGCTCCACAGGAAAAAGATGGGCAATCTCTTCCTATGCAATTTACAACACTGGACCTCACGGAGGATCAGCTATCAGTGCTTCTCAAAGTTTCATTTAGTTATCCAGAGAGAATGCTACCAGGCATTTATTAAACTCAGCTCCTTAAGACACTGCCGCACATGACGGCAAATGTGTTTATAAGCACGGTCGTCAATTTAAAAAAGTGTGCAGCAACGTGTTAAAATAACAAATCTGTGCCAAGTTTTTCCAAGAGTAGTCTGATCTGTTTGTAATTTGGAAAGGATGTGATTCTGAAATTTTTTTCTGCTGAAAGTAGTTCTGGTGGCCTAGAGGTAAGAAGCTGTGCTTCCAACCCAAAGGCACATTCCACAGGCAACCTCCCATGGGATTAAGTGCTTCTAAAAACCTGTTGGAGAGTCAGCTAAGGGTCAGTTCTAACTCAATGATAAATAACTACCTAAAAGAGATAAAAGCTTTAAACATTTTTGTTTATATCATCCCAAATATTTAGGTGTATACAAACACAAATAACTTATGTACAGGTGTATATAATGTATTTAAACAAAGTTACTACTTCAAATTTAAGAATCTTAAAAAAAAGGTTACTCTGACACAAGAAGAAAACGAAGAGATTCTAAGGCAGGACTAGAGGATGATGAATAGCCTTCTTCTGGTGCTGTGTGCTTGTCCTGTCCCATGCCACGGTCCCACAGGCACACAGAATACACCTGGGACTAGGACCTGTGCTTGCTTAGCTCATTGGTCATTCTCAAGAGGCTTAAAGAAGAGCTTGCCCACAGGCAAAGACTTCTTAGCAGCAGAAAGAATTTCAAACTCTTCTCCATTCAAAATCATAAATATACCAGACTACTCTTGCAAAGTATTTCATAAATGTACTTATTATTTCACAGAACTCTACAGACAGGGCTCAGCTCTGCTGTACACAGGGTTGTGAGGTGTTGTGCTCGACCCACAACACATAACAACAATGACATTTAAGAAGTACCCTGGCAGCACACTGGTTAGAGCACTCAGCTATTAACAAACAGAGCCAAGATGCAGCAATCTGCATCCATAAAAATTCTTAGGCTAGGGTTTTGATTAATAGTCTGTTTAGGTTCACGGCCCCTTGAGACTTTTCAATATGGCATTTCCATAATTTTAATATGTTTTTAAAATATGAGAAATGTTTTGGAGAACTCACAGGCAGATCCTCAGCGAGTGGCAATGTTGCTATTGGATGACGACAAAGTGATTCTAACTCCAGCACATTATATAACAAAGTGGCACTATACCACAAGGTTTCTATACCCTAACATTTATGGAAGCATAAAGCCAGGTCTTATTCTGCAGAGGTAACTTCAAAAAGTCAAACTTTCAAGTAGCAGCCAAGAATTTAACTGTTAGTATCACCTGGCCTCTGTTGAATGGTGATGAATATATAATGAAGAAAAACAGCTTCCAGAAGTTAAATACACTTCCCATTTTGCCTTTTCTCATTCATTCTCAAGCTTCATACACTTTTCTACTTACCTTTAACCTTCTGCGGTTCATTCTGACATACCAGTTGGTCAACATATCGACAAACTTGACTAAACGAGGCACCACAGTATAAAGCCTATAAGCTAAAAAGGAAGACAAATCAAATAGGAAGCAAGTATATATTAAGAAGGTGAGGGGGTCAGGGAGCTCTGGTGGCCTAGTGGCAAGAAGCTGCACTGCAATCCCAGAGGTACATGGTTCAAATCCACCAGATGCTCTGCTGGAGAAGGAGGGGCAATCTCCTCAATGGGTGAGGGGGGCTCCATATGGGAGGACTGTCTACAGATAACTAAACAGCCTCTGTTCTCATTAGGAGAGAAAAACAAGCAAACTGAAATAAAGGACATAATAAACAAGTGATTTACTTCAGATGTACTGCACCAACCAAAGTATTCAATGTTTACACACAAAACATCATATAACCATCATGACCACATTATAAATGACTTAAAACTCCCACTAGAACATGAGTAAACAAAGGATCAGGCAAGTAAGTGAAATGCCAGAATACAATGAACAAGCTAAACAATTAAGACTCCAGTGTGTATGCTAGAAAGTGGACAATGGCCAAATCACTTCCACTTCATGCTCTTGTTTTGTTGTTTGCCACTGAACAGACTATGTCTCACAGTGATCCTATGAACAACAGAACCCTGTTCTAGACTGTGTTATATTCTTCATCACTGATATACTTGAGCCCACAGCTGAAGTCTATGGGTCAATCCATCTCATTAAGGGGCCTCCTCTCTTTTGTTGACCCTCTACCTTTCCAAATATGATGTCCTTCTCCAAGGAATACTCCCTTCCAGCAACATGACAAAGCTTCACCAACTTTGTGTCTAAAAAGCACTCTGGTTGCACTTTTTCCAAGACATAATTGTTTGTTCTTTTGGCAGTTCACAGGATACTCAGTACTGTTCTCCAACACCACAGTTCAAATTATATGTCATCATTATTCACTGTCCAGTTCTCAGATACACAGCAAGTAACTGGAAGACCATCGCCTGAACTAGGCACGCTTAAGTCCTTAAACTGATTAGTATAATACAGTATTATTTCATCAAACGACACTGTATCTCAGTAAAAACAGCAGATGGAAATCAAGATAGACAAGTAAATGAAAAGATTTCATCAGAAATTAAGAGGCATACATATGCTAGTGATTCTCGCCAGGGAGCAACTGTTCCTCAGGAGACACTTGTCAAGTCTGGAGATGTTTTTGATTTTCACAATTAGGGAAATAGTATTAATCAGCATTTATTGGGTAGAAGCTAGGAATATCAAATAAAGTCAGTCCCACCACAAAGAATGATCCAGTCCAAAACACCAGCAATGCTGTATCTGAGAAACTCTGGCACAGCCAACAGAATCTTTGAAAGATTAACAGAGTAAAGAAATGAAAGCTAAAGGTGGAGAGTAAAACTTTTTGGGATTACAAGAATTTGAAGTCTTGCCTGAGGAACTCTGCAGGCAAACAGAAAAGTAATCTTGTTTGAGTAATCGGGTTCAGTTTCAACTCTGAATGGATGACTGTGGCATATGGAGTGTCCTCAATAACTTGCAGTAGAAGCACTTACTGCTGAAACCACTAACAGTAACTACTACTCAAAATGTATTACTGACAGTACAAAGAAGTTATTACATTTGACCCACTTCCTGGATGAGGGAGCTGGGATCGTAAAGTTGGGAAAGAGCTGAATCTGAACTTAGGCAACGTGGTGTCCAGAATCCATCCATAAGGTTACTTTCTGCACCATTCATTTCCACAATACATACTGCCAGGTGGGTGTGAATGGACTCAGGGTTTCAGAATCACTGTCCCTATCTGTTATCACTGTTTTCTGGTTTCTTAGCTCAAGAGGGCCTAGTTTGCCAACTTACCCAGATGTGTAGGTAATTGGAAGTAAGTGCCACCATCTAAGCAAACCACAAAAAATGGTTTATCATCTACATTGGAAGATCTGGTTTTACAGAAGAACTCTTAATGGCTGCCCATTTAGCAGAACCAAATACAGTAATGATCCTGGGACAATTAACTTCCATCACTGTTTGGTTACCACTCAATGTTCACTAAGAGTGGAGAGTCAACAGAGGGGAGGGCCAGGTATCCAGGTGAGGGGCAATACGCTCTAGTGCTGTGTTCCCAGTTCCAAAGTCTGTCCTTCAGACTTGCAGGATGACTGAAGACATTCCAGCCCATACTCACTCATGTGGACTTCAGTCTTTTAAAAACTCTTTAAGAGCAGGAGCTTCTGCCTGTTTTTCACTATTTGCTCAGCTTTTTGACAATGATGTGACCCTCACAAATGTCTAACTGTCCCAGAGGAAGAAAGAGCAGAGCAGTGTATAGGGAAATGACCCAACTCAACGGCTGCACTGCTCCTCAAGAGAAAGATGGGCGATCTCCGTTTTTACTATTCACAGCCGTGGTGCCTTGGTGAAAGGTGAGTTATGAATTGGTTCCAATTAGAAGGCAAAGGTTTGGGTTATTTTTTTCTTCCCACAGATCAACAGTCCTATGGCATGAAAACACAGTGATCAGCATGAGAACACTAACTGTTTCAGGATCAGCCTATAAAGCTGCGAAGAAGGAGCAAGCCCAACAAACCTAGCAAGCACAGCATACCTGCTGGAATCGACCAGAGTAATGTTACACAGCAGCATTCAGCTATCACTCACTGGGCATGGCCAGACAGAAAGAAGGCTAAACTCTGCAAGTCAATCTCAGAATGCAATCTTTTCTCTTCCCCCCTCCTCATGTGACTAACAATCCTCCACCCACTCTATGCTTCATTCTTCTCCCGATACATAGTCATGTCCATCTTGGAATCTTAGTCAAGTTTCAAAAATGCCTTGTTTACTCTCACAAACTTGAAGAACCCCACATTACTACCCCACAACACTACTGTTGTTGTTAGGTGCATGCTACCACGTCAACTCCAACTCCTAACAAACTGATATACAGAAGAACAAAGCTCTGCTGGCCCAACACCATCCACACAATCCCCCATGCACTGCTACAGCCAATGCAGTGGCCAGCCAACTCATTAAGTCCACATTCCTTTTTACCCCACACACATTCTACTTTCCTGAGCACAATGTCTTTTTCCAAGGTCTGGCCCCGGCTGATAACATGTCCAGTATGTAAGACAGTCATACCACCTTTGCTTCAAAGGAGAACTCTGGCAACACTTCTTCCAAGACCCTATTCTTTAAGTTATAATTTTAATTACATAATGATATATACATACCAGTACATATATAAAACTATATTCAGAAAGAAAACATACAAGTGCCAATTTTATTTCTGGGTTGTTGTTGTTGTTGTTGTGATGTGCCGTCGAGTCGTTTCCGAGTCATAGCGACTCTATGCACAACAGCCCTAAACCCTGCTCTATCCTGCGCCAACCGCACCGCCTCTGACACACCCATCCCTATTACCCCAGTCACCGAATCAATCCATCTCATAGAGGGTCTTCCCCTCCTGCGTTGTCCCTCAACCCTCCCAAGTATGATGTCCCTCTC